GCAGCTTGTGGACAGCATCGCAGCAGTAGGATCCCATGTTGATACATAAAGTATAATCCTATATATCTTAAATGGCTTGCCCCCCGCATATAACTCCTTCAAAACCACCATCTGCACCATTCCTCTGCACTTCACTTTGGATACCCTGTACTCACTACTATGCAGTGAGGAGATACATGTTAACAATGAACTTCAAAGGGACTCTACTATAGTCACGAACAACACAACTCTATACGTTGGAAGAGGAAGAACTGGAAGAACCAGGGGAAGCTATCGCAGAAGAGGATACCCATCAAGGCCACCAAACAACAATCACTTACAACCGTCTACTGATTTAACTCGACCAGTTTGACAGATTTTTGGCAAAACAGGTCATATTGCCCTGAACTGTTGGCATAGGTTCAACTTAAACTATTCTCCATCTATACCTCCTCGAGCACTCATCACTCAACCATCCGGACAAACTAATACAACAACTGACTGGTACCTAGACTGTCACGCCCCAAGATCTAACTTGGAAAGAATATCAATTAACCGACCATTTATCAGAGTCATCTATAATTCTCCAATTAATCACTGTCTAAACAAAAGTCTATAAATTTAAAAACATCAATAACAAGTCGATTCATATCTCAAAAGTTCATATACAATACTCAGGAACTACACTACAATCACAAGTACAGAAATCTATCCTGTCCTGAGTACAAAAGAATCACTATCAATCAAAAGACAAAAACCTGTAGATCCGGATCAATTCCTATCTTCTGCTCCCTTGCCCTGACCTGAAAATATCAACCACATATAATGAGCTTTACAAAGCCCAGCAGGTCACCTAATACCTATAACTGAAATCAAAGCACGACGACGCTATCAATATGTTGGACGATCCAGTCCAGAAATCATTCCAGAAAACACTCCAGAAATCAGCCGTTTTCAATGCACTGATCGGCCTGGACGATCTCAATATCGTCCCGGCCGATCCTGGGAGGAAAATCCAATTTAGAGAGGAACAGTAAGGGAACGAGATCTCACATAGACTATGGGGCTCCTTCACACATGACGTCTGATGCAACTCATTTACAGCATCCCTTATCATACGCAGGTAGTGACAGCATCTCCATTACCAACGAAGCATCCCTTCCAATCCATTCCAGCGGCCAAGGTCTCCATCCACTACCCAACACCCCACGTAAGCTATATCTACAAAATATTCTTCATGTCCCATCTTTAACACGTAACCTACTCTCAATTCACAAACTTGCAACCGATAACAATTATTTTATCGATTTTGACTCTCTTGGCTTCACAATAAAGGACAATCTGACTCATTAACCAATCCTTAGAGGTCGGACACGAGACGGTCTCTACAACATTCCATCTCAACCGAATTTTGCTCTACAAACTACCAAGTCTTCTACCTCTCTATGGCATGCAAGATTGGGACACCCACACCATCAACTACTTTAGTTCTTAGCTAGCAAAAACTAAAATATATGTCTTTCCAGTAATTCTACTTTTTTATGTAACTCATGTAAAGTGGCCAACAGCCACAAACTATCATTCTCTATTAATGAAATGAAAACTTCAACTCCTTTTAATATTGTTCATACTGATATCTAGGGCCCTGCACCTACTTCATCTTTAAATGGCTACAATTACTATGTTGTCTTCATAGGAGACTTCTCTCGCTTCTCATGGCTTTACCCAATGTCAACCAAAGCAGAAACATTCCAAAAATTTCAAAATTTCATACAAATGGTTAAAACTTAATTGAACTCTCACATTAAAAATTTAAGATCTGACGATGGAGGAGAGTACACATTCAAAAACTTCAAAAACTTTCTGCTTCAACATGGTATCCAACATCAAATGAGCTGCCCGTATACCTCATAACAAAACAGCATTGTCGAAAGCAAACATATACATCTTATAGAAACAACACGAACTCTCCTCCATGCCTCTCATCTCCCACTCAAATTTTGGTTGGAAGCTCTTCTAACTGCCAACTATCTGATTAACAGATTTCCCTCCAAAACCCTTCATCTTGACAATCCATACAATCTCCTAAACGGATGTCAACCATCCTATCCACATGTCAAAACATTTGGTTGTCTATGTTATCCATGGCTTCGCCCACTCTCTCCAAGAAAACTTCATCCTCGATCAGCCGCATGTATATTCCTTGGCTACTCTTCCTCCCACAAAGGCTATTGTTGTTTCAATCCACAAACATCCAAAATACACATCTCTCATCATGTCATATTTCATGAGGATAATTTTCCCTATCTATCCCCAAATACATCCATCTCACAACCTTCATCCCATACTACACATTCCCCTCTTACTCTTATCCCCATCTCCACCATTAACCAAACCACTAACCCACCTCCTCAACCGATAGTTCACCCTTCCACTTTACCATCAATACCTCCTGCAGCCCTACCCAAAACATCATCTCAGTCTCAAACAAATACAACTACTCCAAACAATATCCCCACCATTCCTACACCTACTCCACATCATCGTATGCTAACCATATACAAAACTGGCAATCTAAAACCAAAACAGCATCTTGATCTTTTATCCAAAACCCAATATGCCACCACCCCGACCTACTACACTCAAGCCATCAAGCTACTAGAATGGAGAATGGCCATGTCAGATGAATTCATAGCCTTACAAAAACAGGGAACTTGGTCCCTCGTACCACCTCCAAACATCACAATGTACTCGGGTTGCAAATGGGCATTTCGTACCAAGCTCAAACCGGATGGGAGTGTAGACAGATACAAAGCAAGGCTAGTAGCACAAGGCTTCAAGCAAGAGTATGGCATTGACTACAAAGAAACATTTAGCTCGGTTGCTAAGATGCCCACAATTCGCATACTACTCACTGTTTCCCTCACAAGAAACTGGTCAGTCCTCCAACTAGACATTTCCAATGCATTTCTACTTGGCACACTACAAGAGGAAGTCTATATGAGACAACCATCGGGCTTTGCAGATACAACTCACCCTGACTATGTCTGCAAGCATCACAATTCCATCTATGGATTCAAACAAGCTCCAAGATAGTGGTTCCAAACCTTTGCCAACTTCTTACAATTTGTTGATTTTTTAGTCAGCAAGTCTGACCCTTTACTTCTGATCTACACCAACTAAAACACCCAAATTTATATCCTCATATACGTAGATGACATACTCATCTCGGGCAACAATGAGAATCACATTCAAGCCTTAATTAGCAAGCTTCAAACCAAGTTCTCTATCAAGGAGCTCGGACCAATATCATTCTTCATGGGCATCCAGGTAATTCACAAACCTAATGGCTATTTGCTTAGTCAAACTCAATATGCCCAGGACATTATCCAAGCAGCCAGGTTCACTCAATCCAAATCTGCTCCCACTCCAATAGCAATTAAGTCAGCTTCTTTAGCTCCAAATGCAACAAACTTTGATCCATCCTTATTTAGGAAAATAGCAGGCTCTTTACAATACTTAACAATCACAAGACCGGACATAGCCTTCGCTACCAACCTAGTTTGCTAACATGTGCATCAACCGACTGATTGAGCTCAGCTTATACTGAAAAGATTCCTTCGCTACATTCACATAACACTTCAGTTTGGACTTCCTATCACTCCTGGTGATTTGCAACTGAGATCATTTTTTGATTATGATTGGGCCTCGGACAGAATATCCATTACTTTATATTGTACGTTTCTAAGCAACACATTCGTCTCATGGTGTGTGAAGAAACAACTCATAGTAGTGAAATCCTCCACTGAAGCAGAGTATCGCTCCCTCGCATTAGCTACTTTAGTTATCATCTGGTTACACAGACTTCTCAATGATTTCCAACTCCCAACCTCTTCTCCTACTACAATCTTATGCGACAATACACATGCTCTAGCCTTGGCAAACAATATGGTCTTCCATGTAAGGACTAAACACATTGAGATAGATTATAACTTTATTAGATATAGCATTTTCTCCAAAGAAATATCAGTCCAACACATCAATTCTCTCGATCAGCCGGCTGACATATTTACAAAACCACTGTCTACAAATCGATTCAAGCTACTACGCAACAAACTTACGATTCAATCAATTGAACCATAAGTTTGCAGGGGCCTGTTAGCATCAGTGATAAGCTATACTATAAATAAGCTGAATTATCAAGGAATGCTCCAACACCAGCTGCAGGAAATCATTTCATCACATGGGCACGATCACAAATAGACAACTCAACCAATCACTTACATATTCTCTGTAACCAACTAACCGCTCTGTTCATATATGTAAACCCATTGCATTGATGTAGCATATTATGGAATACAAACCACAACACAAATTCCATCTTCCTTCTTCTTCTCTGTTTATTTCTAACTTGCAGGTTTCTTCAATATGAACTCATAATTGATTATTTGCAGTGTTGATCGATTCATATCATTGAGATTTTTAGTTTGCTGGAATTTAGATGGTCCTAACTTTAATTTGGAAAGTTTTTAGTTCCAATATTACATTGGGATTCGTGATAATCAAATGTATTTTCTTGAGACTATCGCTTCATATCTATCGGTGATTATTTTGTTAATTAGAAAATGTCCTGCTCAGTTGACATACAAACACTTTTTAACCCCCATAGTTCTAAAATTAAATTCCAGTAAAATTTTATAGTAAAGAATTTTATTCGTTATTTTCAAAATATAATTGTGATATTTTGTCAAACATTTAGAATGAATGAACTATTCAAAAGTCTCCTCCATACATTTTGGCAAGTCAAAGATTAAAATTCAATTTAATAGCAAGAAATTTATATAAACTGATCTGCACCACAAATCAACCGTCCAAGCTAAATTGCTAATTTGATTTCTGGTAGTAAGAGATTATAATAAATTTATTTTCATTTATTACGTGTGTGAAAATAAAAACATTAAATTTATGAAATTCAAAAAGATTTGCAAAGTTACTTTTAAATTTCTACTAATATCCAATCATACGATGAATCTTACTACACACAAAATTATAAAAACATATTTTCAACTTCAAACAGCTAAAGAAGAATCCCTTAAACAATTTAACTGCTCACTTATTGCGCAAATAAAAGAATTCATCTCAGCTGATCCAACGCTAGCTCCACTTTTGCATCAACCTCCTCCACTTTTCCATAAATTCTAACGCAATAACCGAAAGATCAGACCTCCAGATCTAATAACAAGAACTAGTACTATACAACCCAAACAAATTGACTAATTATCTCAACTTTTAATAGCCTGCTGCTGCTGTTGTCTACCACTCTTCTTCAACTTCTTGCTCATATGAATCTTTAAATAAACATTCCTTGTTCTCATTGCCAATAACACATCTAATCCAAACCCAACAATGCAAGCAAAGGTCATGATCACAAAAACAAGCCGATAGCAATGTGCGCCGACACAAGTGTTTCCGCCGCTAGGAGTTTTGGTGGCTTGAGCGTCGTAAAGGAAACCAGAAAGAAGACCCGAGAAAAGAAAAGAGCCGAGCGGTAGGTTTAGGATGAGGACGTTGTAGAGAAGGCCATAGTACTTTAGTCCAAAGAGCTCGGATAAGGTAGGGACGGAGATTGCGAGTCGGACACCGTAGCATATGCCGACAACAACGGAGCCAATGTAGAGAGATCCGGGCAAGGCCAAGGCCATCACTACATATCCTACTGCCATGAGAATTTGTGAAGCTGCATTCCAAAGAGGTCTGGGTGTTCCACTCTTCCTGTGACAAAGTATAGGTACGTTATTACTTGATTAAGGAAGGCTGAATTAATAGAATGTCTAAAACCAAAGGCATAACAGAAACCTACTACCATATTCTCCCAAATTCGCATGGAAAATAAAAGCTTCTGCAATTGCTCATACTCAGCCTAATATCGCATTATTTATTGTTCTTTAATTGTATGATCCAGCCAATTGTTTTACTTTGGATGGAAAGTAGAATAGAATCGATCTCAAACATCAAAAATAAAATGCAGGGAGTAGCAGCAATGCAATCATATATGTAAACAGAGGATAAAATTTACTTAATCATCTTACAATTAGACAAGAATCGAAGCATTATATATAAATAGAGATATTAAAATGATAGTAAAATGTAAACAAGAAAATAAGTTCTATGATTCTTCAAACCTCTTAGCTCTCTTGAATATCAAATAATGGGTATAAACTCAAGCTTAGAGCCCCATCGGACTTATTGTATTAATTTCCTTCATCATAGATCATTTTTCAGTATTTGGATTATAGGATATTTTAATGATATCATAATAAACAATCTCATGCTCATTGGATTTATTTAGCCAAGATGCTTGATTTGAACAAAACAATGCCCGCAAGATTTGGAGATCATTTGGTCATCAAATTAATCTCAAGATGTTTTCAATTACACTTCTAATGTTTGATTTTGACTCATTTGAAATTGGATGAGTTCATTTTTTTATGTCGATCAAAGAATTTCTCATTGAGATTTTGAGTTCAGCTATTAATTTTCTAAAATAAAAAGTCGAATGTTCCCAAATGTAATTTAAAAATTTTCTATTTAAATTTTGCCAGAAAATTTGTGCATTATCAAGTCACTATAACCGCAAGTGAACTAAGCATCATAGGCCAATCCTATTGGAGCTAAATCATAGGTTCGAACCAGTTCGTTTCTATCTACTTCCCCTATGCAGAATTCATTAGTACCATACGTCACTCATGATCATCATCAACAACAACAATAACAACATTAAGCCTTTATCCCACTATGTGAGGTCGGCTACATGAATCTTTTTTCTCCATTGTGTCATATTATTAGTCAAATTCTCGTTTAAATCTAATAAATAAATGTCATTCCTAATATTTTCTAGCCAAGTCTTTTTAGGTCTGTCTCTACCTTTCTTAACACAAGTCAAATCTAATACCTCTACTCTCCTAACCGGGTCATCGAAAGGCCGCCGTTTTATGTGATCAAACCATCTAAGGTGACTCTCTCTAATCTTATCTTCTACTGGAGCTACTCCTACCTTTTCACATATATGCTCATTTTGTATCCTATCTCTAAGGATAAAGCCACTCAACCACCTGAGCATCCTCATCTCTGCCACACTTAATTTGGTATTATGCTTCTCTTTTAATGGTCAACATTCAGCACCATAAAGCATTGAAGGCCTCACCACCATCTTATAGAATTTTTCCTTAAGTTTGAGAGGTACTTTCCTATCACACAACAAGCCCAATGCATTCCTCCACTTCAACTCATGACCATCAGAATTCATCAATATCATACATACGCAATTTATCTTGGTCTATTGGTTGAGAGGTTTGATTATCAAATAAGAGGTCATGGGTTCGTGTTTCACGTACGTGATTTGTGCGAATTTGTCTTAATTGACCTAAAATGTCTTTAAAAAAAAAAGTATTTTATCTTCAAGTTAGTTGTCTTCATTTCTTGTAAATTTTTTATGTCAAAATCTGATTTCAATTCTTTGACATTCAAAGGTCATACGAATATTTCAAAATTGTTTACCCTAATTATCTTAAAAATTTATGTAATTTTTTTTCTTATTAATAAAAAATAATTTATATAATTTATTTGATGCATACAATATCTACTCTTATAAAAAAGTGATCAGGTTCTGTTTTATGTCAAAAGGATCAAAATGACACAACTCTCCTTGGCCTATTGGTTGAGAGCTTAGGCTTCCAACTAAGAGGTCCAAGGTTCGAGTCCATGTGTATGCGTTGTGTATGTGAATTTGTCTTAAATGGCCTAAATGTCCAAAAAAAAAAAAAAAAATCAAAATGGGGATGTTTTTTTAATGCATAGTTAATGTCATCCGTACCTATAAGCCGTTTTTTTTTTAATTTTATAATCCCCTTATGCTAAAGCAGACAGCAAAAAAAAACAGATAAGCAGAAGCGTACTTGAGGAAGTGCTCAGAGACAGAGCCAGAGGCGATGCGGCCAAAGAAACCCCAAATGCTGGTCAGAGAGACGAACATGGAGACGTCGGAGTAGCCCATAGCGAGCCCCATCTGCCCCATATTGTTCATCACAGCCATCCCCGTTCCTACGCCGCAGAGGAACGACACGAACAATATCCAGAACTCCAATCTCCGAGTCGCTTCCCATATGGTATGGTCCTCTCCGATCCCCGGTTTCCTCCGTAAACCCTTTGCCTGAGTCCCATTCTCCGCCGCTTCAGCCGGCGAAGAGTTCTCCTCGGCTCTACTACCAGCGAGGAGCGGCTCCTGGATATGGCTTCTGGCCACCTCAAGATCCGAATTAGCCGCTCGCATGGAGGCTGATCGAGCCTTAAACCAGAGGAACGCTGGTACGATGGCGGGGGCGGCGATAAGGACGATCAGACCCACGGAGAAGATCCGGGAGATGATAACTCCGTGATCTCCGGTTAAATCGAAGACGAGGAGATAAACCGCGATGACCACCGCTGCCACGTTGATCCATCCAAAATATCGACTCTCGGCATCATCAGCGGCAGCTGAGGATGGAGGAGTCTCACGGAGGAAGATCATAGCGATGGCGCAGACGCCGACTGGAACGACGGCTAGCATGAGGATGAAAGAGGCCGGGTCTTCGGTAAAAAGCGCGGAGCAGAGATCGGTGAAGATGGCGGTGCTGAGTCCCACGTAGCCCTTGAGTATCCCTGAAACAGGACCACGGTTCCGGCGGAAGTTGCGGATGCAGGTCACGAGAACCGCCGTGTTCATCCACGTTGTACTATTGCCGCCCATACAGAGGAACACGCACATCTGCAACCAACCCTCAGCTGCTCGTTGAATTGCCTCATTGAAAAGAATATTAAATAATAATAATCATTCAGCGTGGTTAATTCACCTGCCAATAAGGTAGAGGAGGGATGGTCTGTCGAACGACGAGCCACTGAGCGCCGTAACCGATGAGACCTTCGATGGAGCCGATGAGGAGGAGGACGGGAGTGGGGAGGCGGTCGGAGGCAAGGCCGGCGAGTAGGCCGAAGGCCTTTCCGATGTCTTTGGCGACCGAGAGGTTGTTGAGCTCCAGCTGTGTGAGACCCATGAGGGATTTGAGGGCGTCCGAGTAGTTGGAGAAGGTGTAATTGTTGCCGGAGATGCACTGCACCCATACCGCTGTCACGAAACCCAGCCATTTTCCCACATCTGTGCCTGGCGACGGTAATGTTCCCATCTCTCTCCTTCTCTCTCTCTCTCGCTCGCTCGCTCTCTATGTCTCTTTCTCACTTTCTCGACCTCCCTGTCAAGAATGACCAATTCAGGGAGAGAAGGAGAAGTGGGCGGATCTTTATAGTAGTGGAGCACCGAGTTTTCGTGGAAACCAGAGCGGCAAGGTTTTTACTTTTTAGAATGCGTTATATTATATTATAAAAGATATTCATTGATATTTTGTTTTTTTTTGTGTAAATAAATAAATAATTATTAAATTTGAAAAGCGTCCTTGAATTTCATTAGACTACCTTCAAATATTTATACAAATTAAGTTTTCTATATACATATTTTGAAAGTTTTTTTTTTTTTACATTTTCGTACGTTAAATATATATTTTATACTGATTTATAATAATAATATATAATACTTGATATGTCACCAAAAATTATCTTGATCGGGCACGAATCTTGATGCAAAATTGAGTTGAAAGCTTCCAAAATTAGATATGGGACCATCCAAACTCCAATTTCAACAAACTTATAATCGAAATGAACGTCTCAAGAAGTCGAGCCTAACGATACCAAATTCGACTCAATCCGAGCCCGAATGGGTCCAAATCAGGGTCTGAAGTGTTGTTGAAGGGTTCAAAGCACAATTTGGATTACCAAACGGTTTCCAAATATGACATGCTTATAGTCGAATCGAGCGGCTCGACAAGAAGAATACAAAAAGCCCAAGATCATTTAATTCTGAAATCGTTAAGGCATCCAATTGACCAATAAACGGTCCATGATCAAGGGGATCGATATTAGCCGTTCATTCAAATCAGTCCCATTTTGCCTTGATCCTCCATATATTTACAAGTCATGTCACTCTGAAAAAATTATAAATAGCCCCTACTCTTCTCATTGGGGGGGGGAAGAAGAAAAGGAAGATAGGAGTTTGGGAGCTCTCTTGCTACCGTCCACCGCTGGAACTCTTGCCAACCACCACTGGGTACCTCCCGACCACCGTCGGAGTTCATGCCGATCACTACCGGGGTTCTTCCCGACCACCTTAGGAGTTCATACCGACCACCGCCGGAGTTCTTCCCGACCACCGTCGGAGTTCATGCCGACCACGCTGGAGTTCTTCCACACCACTGCCGGAGTTCTTCCCGACCACCTCCGAAGTTCATCCCGATCGCCGCCGGGCTTCCACCAGTTCGCCAACCACCAACGGACTTCTGCCACTCCGTCGGCCGCCACCGGACTTCCACTAGTTCGTCGATCGCCGCCGAACTTCATCCCGTCGCCGACTGCCGCCGGACTTCTACCAGTTCATTGACCGCCGTTGGACTCATAGTTCTCCGTCCGCCGTAGGACTTTCGTCAGTCCGTCAACTATAGTCCTCCCAACCACTATCATCCGACTATGGTTCTTCTGACTTCCGTCGTTTGCCGATTATGGTCCTTTGGACCTCCGTCCTCTACCGACTACATTCCCCGCCGACTACGGTCTTCCCGACCTTCGTCGACCGCCAACTATGGTCCTCTCGACTTTCGTCGCCCGCCGACCACAGTCCTCTCGACCTTCGTCGCCCGTCGACTACGGTCCTCTCGACCTTCATCGCCCACCGACTACGGTCCTTCTGACCCGGCGACTACGATCCTCCCGACCTCCGTCACCATACAACGGTCCTTTTGACTTATGTCGCTTGCCGACTACAGTCCTTCCGACCTCCGTTAACTGTCGAATATGGTTCTTCTGATCTACATCGCTCGTCAACTATGATTTTGTCGCCCCAAATAAACATGTCAACATTGATTCATCCAACTCCCACCATGTAATATACTATGTATGATGTATATTTGCTACACCGAGCCAAGACCTTCCTCTTAAGGAAGGGTCTCATTTGTAATATACTGCAAATTAACACTAATGGACTCATTTAGATTGCGTCAGACCCCATGATTTTTCCCCCATTTTCAGGGGTTTTCACGTAAAAACTCTTGTGTCTCTTATGAGCGTTACTCCAGGGGCGGAACCGGCTTCAATTTTGAAGGGGGGGCAAAATACAACACAAAAATAATTAAATTTAAAAAAATAGTATTATATCTCTATATATTATGAAAAGTTTTTTTAAAAAAATTAAGCTAGAAAAATAAAGAAAAAAAGGTGTAATTAAATTGTCATGAAAAACATGAAAAAGAATATTAGAACAGAATCTGAAGAAATATATAAATATTTTATGGCAAGTTATGACAAAAGAGTTTTTTAGGGGGGGGGCAAAAATAATTTTTTAGGAGGGTAAAAAAAAAAATTTTTACCCTCCTATAATTTTTTTTTTGGAATTTTTTTTAACTCTTCTAAAAAATTTTTTTTTTTGAGGGGGGCAATTTCCCCCCTAACAACCAAATGGTTCCGCCACTGCGTTACTCCCTCTCTTTTTTTTGCTTGTGTGCTGGATCTTCACACAAAGATAAGGCATTAATCTTTATATTTCTCTACCGCCGTGAATTTTCCAGGATGCAACAATACTTTTCTTTTTTATATATGGCTTATATATATATATATATATATATATATATATATATATACACTTTAAATTCATAATTTTATAATTTATAGTCAAAATTTTTAATTAGCCGATCAGGACGTGCTACCTAATAATTATAATACCCTAAATTCTAAACAAAACGAGAATCCTGAAGTCGACCATGAAACTCTCAACAAAGTTACGGACATCGAAAATTCTAAAAGTGAAATCTCCGATCAAGTTTTAAATTTTTCATTTGCGTAGCATGTTGTTTGCGCGTAATATAACAAATGATTTATCAGATTTTTTAAACAGCGAAAACACCTATAAGGATCTGACATAATCTAACGTACTTATTCACTTCATAATCAGAAAAAAAAATAGTGTAAACAAATACGTAGCTAAAAAACCATAAGAAATGTAATAAGAATTTAATATTTCAATCATCTCAACATATAATTAATCATTTAAGATTTATATATGATAACTAAAAATCTATTCTGAGCGAATTAGATGTATCAGTCAAAGGATTTTGTGGTCCATTATAATCTAATTTATTTTCTAAGTAAAAATAAGGCAATTTCGCAGCTTATAGGAAGGTGGACGATCGCCCCAAGATTTGATCTTCAAATATTTGGTAGGTACGGCGTAAATATGGTTGCTTCCAAAACACGGCAACTATTAAATTTCAGGTTTATTATTATTTGAAAAACAGTTCTATTTGGCTACAATAAAGTATTTGATCAAACAAACAACTTTGAAACATATATTTTCTTATGAAGAGAAATATCTTGTTAGAAACAAATTAACTGGGTTATTTCAGTTATACGAAAACTAATATTTAACTTTTAAAAAGATAAAATTATAATAGTTTTAATATCAAGATATTATTTGCTTTGGCCTAAGAGCCTTACGGTTTTGTCCTAATTTTCTAAGACTCAAGGTTTTGTCCTATTCATGTAATTTCGCATTAGGTCACATATTTCAGGATTTTTCCAGGATGAGCACACTTAACTGCAGAGTTTTTTGAATGAATTTACAACTATTACACGAAAAGGCGCTTTGATGTTTAAGAGTTTTTTTTTCACAATTTTCTCCACTTAAGTAACTGACATAACTGACATCGTCTTCAGTATTTTTATCCCATAATCATCCATAATGCATATAAAATTCTAGAGGTGGTTGGCCCTACAAGTTCAAGTGGTTTCTCCAATCATGTGGCACTTTATCCCATACTGGATTCAAGAGATGGCTCCCATGACGTAGCACTTTGTCTTGTATGATACTTAGTTCTAATCTTCCAGTTGTCATATCACTATGATATCATTTGTAACGACCAAACTATTAACTATCGAGATATTGTTAGCTTTGACCTAAGGCCTCGCGTGTTTGTCATGCTGGTGTAACTTCCAACTATTAAGTCAAAAGACACTTCGATGTTTAAGAGTTCAACTTTTTTTTTACTTAAGGGGCTTCCGTTCTAGTTTCATCCGCACGCAAAAGAAGGGTTGGAAAACATATTTGATCAGGATAGAACGTCGTTAAAGGAGGCGAATGAGTTTTTTTGCGACTCGTTCAAAAGTGTACCTCACGCAAAGCAGGCGAAGTCGAACATCAATGTAGAAAAGCATAAATGTTACCGCGATAATGGAGGACGAAATGAATTGTGGGCTTCTCTATAGCGCCCGTGTGAATTCTTTTTTCGCTCGATTTGAACCGATTTATTTACACATAAAAATGAGCTGCATTTGTGAGTTTATAATATAATATGATATTGATTTTCTTTACATTCTATCCAACCAAATACCAAAAAGTAAAAAAAAGTGACGCATTCTTTTTACACTGCATTTCTTTTTCCTCCGACCAATCAACCTCTATGTGAAAAAAACTAATGAAAAAATTGGGGAAATCACACTCTAAACCCTAAACTTAGACTTTAATGATTGTATATTTAATTCGAGGTTGACTGATTTTCCCCATCGCAATCTTTCTTATAGATGGTATAATAATCAAGTTCATAACCCCATCAGATGTCTCCTTGATCGTGCTCTTTGTAATAATGCTTAGTTGTCTAAAATTTCTCTTTCTTACTTCAAGGTTATTATCCCTCAATATCTGATCATTCTCCTATCTTATTGCAGTTTGATCATCCTACCTAGATTTCAAAAATATTCCTCTATAAGAACTGATATATTCTCAAAAAATTATCTTGATCGAACACGAATCTCGAGGCAAAACCCAACCCGGGAACTTCAAAAATTAAATCCGGGAGCACCCAAACTTCGATTTCAGCAAGCTTACAGTCAAACTGAGCGTTTTACTCTACCTGGAACATTCCTATTCAAGCGGAGTTTATGTTTTATTTATGCAATAAGTTGAAGAATGCCACGATTTCTCTTAAGAATGATAAATGGTATTCTTCTATTGACATCTACCACCACTTTTTTAGACTCAAGGATGAGTAAAATGATATTTATTAAAAAAAAAAAACTTGAAATCTCTTCTTTGGATAAAAAAATTCTCAATAATGCCCTCTCCATTTAAAAAGACCTTATTGATGCCTTCGACTATAAGAGATATGTCTCTTGTGATATTATAAGAAAGATGAACAATTATATATTATCATGGAGGAATTTTTTTTTTTTTAGACA